AGAACTCAGCGCCTTTGACTCAGAGAGTCGGAGCCTCGGTTTTGGAAGCCTCGGATCTCTGGACTTCCCTAAAGAGGACAACAGATGAAAGCGGATCTATCTTTTTAAAGGACAACATATCGGTGCCCTTCTCATGTCCACTTTCGCTGCATCCATGGTGACAAACTGGATAACTTTCTCTGCTACTCTACTTCACTCTCTCACTTTAGATATCACATCTTTGAACAGAGGCTGTTTTGCTTTTGCCGAGACACTTAGAGGCAGGAAGCAAAACAGAAGAATCCTTAAACATGTCTGCTAACAAGCAAACCTAGTGTAATTCAATGTGTTCAGATAAGCAGACTCTTTCCTCCATGCCATTTCCTCTTTTTTGGTATGAATTGAATAAATCAGGAAATTTTAGTAAAAATGGGCACTTTGATATGTTTAATTAGAAACTCATCATGTTCATATGATGCTTATTGTGTGTGTTACATGGAGGGACATTGTGGAATGTGAACTGCGGACTCCCCCGTGGTGTTAAGCTGCTTTTATTTCTTTTGAATTATTTGATTTTGCTGTATTCATTTAATTTCAATCTCTGAATGTGAATATTACTATACTGAGGGTTTACTCATACTTTTTTACAGGTTTTCCCTTCTCCTACCGGTCATACATAATGCTCTTACTCATACAGTATCCTGTACTGTGGTTCTTCAGTTTTCTAACAGATTCCATTGATCAGTATGTAGAAACAATTGGCATCAACTCGATCGACCTGTTTAATCCTCTCACAACTCAAGATCCAACTCGCTCAAACTGCTTATTATTGCATGCACTTTAAGGACAAATTCAGGTTGTGAAGTGAAGCATGAACCTGTCAGAGATTTTAGCTGTTTGTAAATAAGTGGTCACAGCACATGTTTTTTTTTTGTTTCTTTTTCTTTTTCAGCTTATTGATACTAGACATAAGCGCCATATTTGATATGATTTTTTTTTCACAAATGCCTTTATTTGAGTTGTGCCTGAAGCAGGTTTTAGTTTGAATTTGTAATATCGATATTTTAACTGACTTAGGCCGGCACCGTTTTTTTTTCTTTTTGCCTTTTTTGTTGTTGTTGTCTCTTTTGGATTCGTCTGAAACTTGTGAATCATTTAATTGTTCACTAATCTTGTAAAGGAAAAATGGTGAGATCTGTGCTGTATAATTTTTGATATGAATATTTGTACATGAGAACATAGCTAGAATATACAGAGACACTGGTCTATTACTGATAACAGAGCCTAACGATAAAGATTTTGCTTCTTTTTTTATAATGTTGAGAAATGGTCATACAATAGTTCGGTATATTGCTAAGTCGGACCATTAGACTTTCAGATTGTATAAATGCTGGTGAATGGAACCACAGACTTCTTGTTATTTCCCTGTGATGATCTTTAAAAGATCAGAGACTCTCCAAACATGTGGGTCTGGACTAGGTTTTGAACTATTTGTGACTGAGGATTTCGATATTATCCACCATGTTCATTATAGTCATTGAACAGGTTGCACAATTATTCCATTCATGGTGAATGGAAAGATAATGTTTTGGTGCTTGATTTCTAACACCACCTTTAGCCTTGCTGTTTTTCTTTCATTTTATTTTAGGAGTACACTTTAGTTTCACAAAAGATTCGTAACCATTTTGCATCCCCCTCTTATTAAACACACAATTGGTTTTTTAAAGACTCGTGACGTGTTTGGAGCCCCCAATGCACTGAATATCTCGAGTGTTGAAGAGTATGTTTTAAAAATGCTTTTCCTTCATAGATCACTTAAACATTGTCAGAATGTTTTAGTTTCATTTTTTTTTCTCCACAGCAAATGCCTGTATTAGTTCTTCACAGAGGGTACTGGGGTGGAAAAGCTGGATGACGTCCCATAAATCAACAAAGTATTTTAACAGAAAGAATCCAATAACACTTAGTTTCTGGTGGCAAAAGAACCTGACTGCGACCGATCCGACTGAGTTCTGAAGTGTGAACGGGAAACTTGTTTTTCATGAACTTTATGAAATTTTAAGAAACTGTGTCTCATATGCAGTAAAACCTTTTCTTTTTGTTGTCTGATCGAGAATCAAAACTGAAGCTTTTTGGACAAATTGTTCCATAAAGAAAAAGTGCTTTTTGAGGTGCTCGAGTATGTTAGACTGAGAACTTCAGAAAAAAACAGACCTTACAATTTGTGTACATTTTAGGTTATTAGAAAGATGTATTTAGTTAGAATAAAGGGGACTTTCCTAAAGAATTTTATTCACCATTTCCTGTGCAGTTCGAAGACGAAATAAAAAAGATTTTGTTGAAAACAAACAAAAAAGGGAGCATCGGCGCTCAACATCCTGCTTTTTGACAGAGAAATCCTGAGTGTGTGTGGTTTAATTTCTTGGCAATGCTTTTTTCATGTGGTGTGAAACTTCACACGCTTTCTTTTCTTTGGTGGGAAATGACCGCTGCGACCTATATTGATTCATTTTCTTTTTTCTTTATTTAACAAACATAATTGCGGGTCAGAAGTAACAAGCATATCAGAAATCTTAAAATGGGAACAGTGAGAGGGAAGTAGATTAGCAGAGTTTAACCTTGAGGCCTACTTATATTTAATCGTCAAATACAAGCTTGTTTTTCACACACTGTCAGGAATCTTGGTGTAGTTTCTCTGAACTGTCAACCTCTGAGACAGAAATCTGCAGCAGACGTCTGCCTCTCCCCTCCACTTTACCCCCCGGGGGAACTGGAAACCCCCGTGTAATGGCATGAAGAGTGGTTACTCTTTACCTGAAGAGATTGTAACACTGGTGTGGTGCATCGACTTTCCCTGCCTGTTCTCAGGTAGTTTGTGGTTTGGCAACCAAAACATGCCTTCATGCGCTGAAACCGTAGCGCAGATACTTTCAAAACTAGCAGAGGTCGTGTCAGATCACAATAAGCTGTTTCACTTTCGGTGCATTCGTTGCAAGGGTGTTATGTGTTGAAGTCTTAAATCTCAATTTCTTACTCTATATGTTGCAAACTAACAAAACAAAAGCATTCAGGTAATTATTTAGGAGGAACCAACTCAAAGTGCATAACTGTGTGGTAGAAGAAAGCAGATATAGTACATGGTTTCAGCCCAGTTATCCACCGATATCCTTAAAATCCAGTGCAGCAATTTCTCTCAGAAGTCACCATATGCAGCTATTCTGTGAGAGCTCTAATGAGAATATCCTTAAATACAAAAAGCAGGAAGGAAGATCTTTGAATCTTATTTTAAGGAACATTTTATAGAACTATTCATAGCTTTGAACATCTCAAGGACTATTGCTTTAATCTATTACCTGAAAATTGAGAATTTATTCAAACCTGCAAAGCTAGGAAGACATGGCCGCCCACGAAAACTAACAGGTCAGATAAGGAGAGCATCAGTCAAAGCATTACTGAGAGATCAGTTATAGAATACTTGCAGCCTTTAAAGGCTCCAAAAAAGAAAAATCTAATTTAAATTTTACCAAAGATCTTGTATTGAACAAAGCCAACAAATGGAAGAAGATGTCCCAGTCAGATAAAACCAAAACTAAAAATATTGACAATTAGTAATAACAGCATTCCCCACTGTGAAACATGGTGGTGGCAGCAGAAGGATGTGGTGACAGGTTTATTTCCAACAGAGACTTAAGAAGAGGTTCACTTTCCAGGAAAACACTACACCTACAGAATGAAATCCAATTAGTCTACAATAAGAACTTAACATTAATGGTTACTGATGCTCTCCATTCAGACATGGTTTATAAAGAAAAAGCAAAGATTGACAACTAAAAATGTCTGTGGTACTCATTGTTAGTATGTCACATAAAAGTAAAAGTATGAAAAATGCCAGATGCTAAAGTATTTTGCAAACCATTAGCTTTCAGGATTTGGTTTCTCAATAACCACAGTTGGTGTTGTTTTTTTTTAAGCAGAAGTGAGCAAGTTTCCTAAAAAGTTCTTCTATGGCTCAATGAACTCATTCACTGATGTTCTCTGTCAGAAGCTCAGCCTCATTGCCTCTTGTTACGCAGATTCAGTCATCTTTACGTACTTTAAAAGTTTCTGATTGCGAAATGCATTTTGTTTTAACCTACAAGCATCCGGTATGGAATGCCACATATAACTATTGATGCAAAAAAAATTCAAGCAAAAAAAAAAAAAAAAAAAAGTCAGTGGTTTGAAAATAAACTTCAACAGAATTTCTCACCTAGGCTCAGAAAAGACACACGCACCAATCATTGCTAAAAAAGCCAAATCATTTATCTTCCCACTGTCTTCCCATCTGTCACCTCTGTATGTGTAATCGTCTCACAGTGTTTATTTTAAGCATTAAATTTAACTGACTGAAATATAAGATTTAAAGAAAAAGTTTGGATTCCCCTAATGACAGAAAATGTGAAAGAAATGACAACACAATAAGCTATGGGTACCAAGCTAAGCGAACTTTTACTTTGGTAAAGTACAAAACCGTAGAATTGTCTTTCATTCATAAGAAGAACTAAAAGTGAGTTCAATACTGTGTCAAGGGGCAGGCTAACCACAGTCCTTACAAGATCTCTGGTGGTTGACACCTAATTTCTATATAAGGCTGGTTTATTTTCTGAAGCGACAAATTTACCAGCTATGCGTAGGATTTCCCAAACAGTCAGAAGATCTACTTTAATTACAACTTTTTAACCATAATTCCATATATGTCTTGGAAACAGGTCAATGCCCCAACATGTCTATTCATACATAAGGCATGCCTCGGCATTGTCTTCCACCATCAAAAAAAAAAAAAAAGAAAGAAAAAAGAGTGAATATAAAAAATAAAAAAACCCAAATAAAGAAATTAATAATAACACAAAAAATTGTCATTTTAGTCAGGAAGGAATCAACCAGGATGACGTTCTCTACATGAGGCTCACTGCACGTCATTTCCTGTGGGTTATTCTAAAGAAGTTTCAAAGGAGTGTGATCATGACGAGTCCACGCAATTTGATTGTGAGACACAGAGGAGAATGAATGGTCATGTAAAGAATATGCATTTTCAACAGCATGTGGAAAGAGCAGCAAGTAAGTTTAACTACATTTCTTACTTTGAAGCTTTAAACATCATTAGACCGTTTTTCTTATAATCATGCAACCTATTTTTAGTGACTTGTGGCTCTTGTGAAACTAACTGAAGTTTGCAGTTTCCTGCATGAATGAGTTCCTTTTTACCTTTTTGGTCAAGTATATGTGTAACAGACCTTTTTTAACTCTATTTAAGCATAGATAAACCATAAAATGTACTCATTTAGTCATTTTTCCAATCTGTGTGTTGAATGGGAAAGAGTTTAGTTCAGCACTTGCAGTTTTTGTAAATTAACTTCTCATCTAACGTGAGGACGATTTACAATAACTGACCACTTCTCTACTCCTCAGCATTACTCTGCTTCCTGCTGCTTCTGGCTGTTGATACAACAAAAACTGTGGAAGCAGGCAAAAACCAGGGGTGTGATTCTGATCTGCAAAAGACTCAGAAGCTCACCAGACTAATACATAAGCAAACCGGTGATCTGATCAAAGCATATGTGAGTAAAGTCATACATCTAATCTGTTTCAACTGATCAATCACGTGATTGGACAATACTAAATGAAGCTTCTAGTTTGTTTTAAATTGTCTTTCTTTATCACAGAAAGCATCCGAAGGAGAAATGGCACAGCTTTTCTGCAAGGCTTCAAGGAGCGACATCCCTGACCCAAACATCTCTGGGCTGGAACCCTCAGAGAGGATGGCAAGCATATACACACAGCTTCAAGCCTTCTCACCTCACCTGAAGAGGGTCCAAGAGCAGCAGATGGACTTGCAGCCCCCCAAAAGCCTGCTTCTCGATCTAATTCAAAAAGTGAGAGATTACAGCGTGAGGCTTACTTCTAGCATTAACAACTTTTACCACAACTTCTTCCCAAACCTGCCTTTACCGGATCCGGCAGGTGGACCCACGACACTACCACTGCCCCAGAACATCTTCCAGCAGAAGATATACGGCTGTGTGGTGCTGACGACCTACAAGAAGCTCCTGAATAACATTTCAAAAGACATGAGGACACTGAAAATCAAAGTCTGCACGAGGGCAAGATAAAGTTGATTCGACCCCTTTACATGACATGAGGCTGGCCTTTGTAGGTCAGTATCCAGCAGCACTTTACTTATAATAAACGACTTATAAAAAGATAATTACGTTTGAAGATGGCAGGTACATCAGAATAGTATTGCCTATTTATGGTATTTAATATTTATTTTCTCCAAGTGTTCCTGGAAAGAGAAATTTTGCTAAAAGTGTGATATAATTAACAGGCTAATTGTGTCTTGTTTTCTAATTTAAATGTTTTTTGCTGTACACAGAACTGTAAACCGTTGTCCATGTCTGGTTGTAATCAGCATGGAGAATAAAATGAAAATGTAACTCAAGTTCACCCTTATGTTGGATTGTTTCTATGGGCTCATAAAGTCATTTTTATTTTCCAAAGTATAAAAAGGATCATGTGTGGGGGTTTTTTCTATACAAAATCACTCCCTAAACTGGAGTTAAAAAGAAAATCAGGAAGCTGCTGAGACGCTGACTCTGTGATATCAGCTCTAAGTGACGCATGATTTAAACACAAGGCCACATCAGATAGGAAAGATTTCATGAAACTGGCTGTCTGGTCAGTCACAAGGTGTGAGAGGCTATGGATGTGTCTGTGTTTGCTGGGAGGGTCAGATCACTTAATGTATTAACGGTGTGTCATTTGGGGCTTTGCATCTTTATATAGTTTCTCATACATGGGTGTGTCCTGCGGAATGGGAAAAAAAAACATGTTTAAATTTGGGACACAAAAGCTTCTTTGAGTCAGTATATGCAGACTTGTGAGTGCCTTATATTTGTATCAAATAGTTTCCAAAGACTTTTTTCTAATTTTAGCCCAACTTTCCTCCAGTCACAAGCTATCAGGAACCTAGAAGTAGATGGGGATTTACTCTGGGTCATGAATCAAGTTCCCTGTTATAACTCTGCCTAAGGGCACCTTAGGGCACCAGCTATATATTCTGTATGAAACAATTTCAACTATGCTTATAGGATAATACTGCAACCAACATTTGAGAAAATAAGGAAAAACTTCTGTTATCTCTGTCATGCCATAAAATTGTCCACGTTTTTTTTTGCATTAAAACATTCAGGTTTCTTTTTGGACTTTTGTGCAGTAAACCAGCATAAAAGATATGACGTTAAAGTAAAAGGAAAATAATACTATTTTATATATAATAATATAAAAAGAATTGAAATCATCTTATCCTGAGTGAAAACTTTGTGGAAATTCAGCCTATGCAGATTCTTAATCATCCAGATAATGGTAACCAAAAAAAGCTTTAATAAGGGGGCGACCAGAATTTAATCAGGTTTTGACAACACCTTAGAAACCTACCCAGAATAATTAGTCAATTCTGAGGCATATCGTTGAGCAACCCGTAGTTTGAAGCTTCTATTTTAAGCACACAGAGGCCCATCCTCCTTGGAGTATTTCAGTCAAATATAAAAACAGCGACCTCTCTATTCCTCCTCTAGGTTATTGAAATTAATATTTTGGTGTGAGTCTGTTTAATTAATTATATGAATACTTCCTAAACTGTGTATGTAATTTCTAGAAAAAAAAGGACATGGATGTGGCTCAATTGTTTTACTATTCAAGATTGTGGGTTCCTGCATCTTCCTATTACCTCCTGATGTGCCCCTAGCAAGACATCTAACCTAAGCTTGCCTACTGAAGTGTGCTAGTTAGTGTGACTGAGGCTATAGTTCAAATCCCTTTAATGAGCAGTGTGATCAGAAAATCCTAATTTAAGGAAAATAAGGAAACACTGCTGTTATCTCTGTCATGCCATAAAACCTGTCCATATTTTTTTGCATTAAAACTTTCAGTTTTTTTTTTAGGTTTTTGGACTTTTGTACAGTAACCCAGCAAAAAATATTATATAATGTTAAAGTAAAACGAAAATAATACTTGGTTTTTCAGCTGTTTCACTAATGAAAACAAGAATTGAACTTTGTGGAATGCAGGCTCTGCAGATTCTTAATCATCCAGATAGTGGTAACCAAAAAAAGCTTCAATAAGGGGGCGGCCAGAATTTCACCATGTTTTGGCAACACCTTCGAAACTTACCCAAAATAATTTGTCAATTCTGACGCCCATGGTTGAGCAACCTGTAGTTTGAAGCTGCTCTTTGAAGCACACAGAGGCCCATCCTCCTTGGAGTATTTCAGTCAAATATAAAACAACGACCTCTCTGTCCCTCCTCTAGGTTATTTGAATTAATATTTTGGTGTGAGTCTGTTTAATTAATTATACAAATACAAAAAAAGGACATGGCTGTGGCTCAGTTGTTTTACTATTCAAGATTGTGGGTTCCTGCATCTTCTCAGCTTACCTACTGTGCTAGTTAGTGTGACTGAGGCTATAGTTTAAATCCCTTTAATGAGCAGTATGATGAGAAAAATCCTAATTTAAGTCCATTTATTAAAATGAGTTTCATGCAGGGCTTTTGAAAAGAACAAAAACAAGAAAAAACAATCCTCCCCCTGAAATACAGATAGTGATCTTTTTGTGGTACATTCTTGTACACTTTGATCTGAGACTCCCATTTTGCTCAAAAGGCACAAAAATCTCAATAATATTCAGGGAATTAGAATATAGCTGAAAAAATTATTTTAGGAACTAATTTTAATTACTAGGTGAAAGACATTTTGTGGATTAACACAGACTGATGTTTCCAAAACTTTATTTCTGTTATCCATTATGACTCTTTACTTACAGCTATGGAAATATCACATTTAGGATGAACATTTTACATAAAACAAATAAAACATGTGTCCTAATGTAAAGCATTTCACTGAGCTTTAAGTTACAATCGTATCATGACAATCCCCAGATTTCACCTCTAGATGGCAGTATATGTCAAACTCAAAAGGAAAAAAAAAAACATTAAAAGCACTAAAACTATTATGTAACTAAAAATGAGTCATATTTATGAGAATAAGCATCTCATTTTGTGAATGATTTTGGTATTTCATGTTTGTCTTTATGACTGAGATGGTGGTGCTAAAGAAGTGGGGTAGAAGGAAGAAAAGATGACAACATCTTCCTTATTGCTGCAACAATCAGCATGCAGTTTAAATTCTGACTTCCTGTTTTTTTTTCTTTCTGTTTTTAATTCTTGTATTTATCTTGTGTTTGAAAAATCAAACTACTGGTGCTATCTGCTAACAATTCACTCCACAATAAACTGTGTGGAAAGAAAAAAGAAATGTTTTCCCTTTCACTCTCCACAGGATATGGAAAATTGTTTCTATGACTCATTTTTAATTTGATGACCATGCTGATAAATATTTGCACACTATGCTAAAATGGTCTTTCTCTCAAAGGAATATTTCAGTTTTAGACAAACCTTTTCCTGTGATAAAGCAGAACAGACATAGTATACAAGTTGTTATAATGCTTATGTGAAATTCATCAAAGCATGTAATGTATATTTCCAACCATAGAGACAAAACATTTAAATGAATCAGCCACGGTTTTAAATGAATGCTGCATTCATGTCAATAATTAATGTTGGTACTTTTTTATTTCACCAGGACAGTTAATGTTCCTTTATTGTGGGGATGGAGAGTGAAGGGCAAACATATTTTTAGATATTTTTACTCATAGAGAAGAAATCAAAAGTTATTTCTCGGTATAATACAAAACATATCATCTCTGATTAATCAGAATTGTGAAATGAAACACATCATATCCAAGCCTGTGTATTTAGATGGATGATCTTTTATGTCATTTGCTGTTCCACTCATACAGTTGTAGAACATTATAACCAACAGTAAAAGTGGATATCCATTTAGATGAGTCCCAAACTGACATACTCTCATGATTAGCAGAATGTTACATTTACATTTTACCTTTAATTATATTTTGAAGCATTCTTTGTCATAGTTGTGTTGGTGATACAACTTTATTAGCTTTAGATATCTATATTGGGTAGACAGGGTTTATTAAATTATGGATTATTTTTAATCCTTTAACTTTTTTTATCATACACACAAAGTTGATATGAACATATGCTGAAACCGACACATGAATTAGTGACTTTGAACAAGTTAAACCATGAGCACATATTTTGGTAGTTTCGATATTTTATCTACTTTTCAGCAGCAGGGACTGTAACAAAGCGGATATAGCATTAGTTTGAGAGTCTTAATGTCTCCCCATCAGCCATAATGGTTATAATTGTGGCAGAATGAGTAAATCTTTGACTATAAAACCTCTCTAGCATTGGGCTTTTTTAAGTGGGCAGCTCATTACAGATTTATATTTTGGAGCAGAAGCATATTGCTCGCATGACAACATGACATGGTTCACCATATCACTTGGCTTCCAGTTTATGGCAGGTTTGAACTCATAAAGTTGGAAAGGACAAGTCAATGATGGTCCTCTAAAGGCCTTAATCGACCACTAACAATCTGTTTATGTGAATAAAAATAGGTCTGTGCCAGGAAACAAACACATTCTGCTGAAAACAGTCGACACACATCTCCAGCCAGAATTATGCCACAACCGTGTTAATGGGTACAGGTTTGCAAACCTTGTGATTGAAGTTATGTGCAGTAATAGAGCTTCAAACAAGTATTTGTAGCTTGGTTCGGTTATAACATTCACCCTAGTCTGAAAGCAACAATTTATGCACACCATTTAGAGCCAAAAGCATATATTCATATTCATAAAGAGTATTTGTAAAGCTTTAACTTGAACTAAATGTGTTTTTTTCTCTTTGGTTAAATAAATGTAAATAATGAAATATGTTATGGGTATTTTTTGCGTTAATATAGTGCAGGGCATGTTTTTTGCCATTCTGTGATCATACAGAAATCACAGAAAAATGTAGCAATCAGACAATCTATATCTCACAGTTAACAAAATAACAGTTTTATAGCCCATATTACCCCATGCATAGTTATTTTATATTGCAATATTATTGCTTTATCTATCCATTCAGCAGTAGAACATTGTTTCTTAAAATTATTAATACCACTTCTAATAAATCCAAACTGTTCTTTGGTTTACATAGTTGCTCCCGCATGCATAAGGCATATACCATTAGTGCAAGTATCTTTTAACCGTGCAAAACAAGAATAAATGTTGAATGGTAAAGAAATAAAAATGTCAATTCTTAGTTCAATCTCACATCCTCACTTGCACATAGTAAATGTGTTTTTTGAAAACCGAATGTTCATTCTTGATTCGATCTCGAAGCCAGCTAGCAGCTGAAAAACAAAAAACAACACACAGCAACTCAGTTTTGCATTTCAAACTTACACAAGTTCACACAATCTGTCTAAAATCAGTACTAGTGGAATTTTTAAAAACACATGCTGACTAATATCATACAAAATGTTACTAACAAAGCAAAAAACACATCAATACTGGATGCACTAATGAACTGCAGCTTTAAACAGACCTTTAGAAAATGTTCGAAGGTGATTCCCTCATAAAATTCATCAGGTCTCTGAATTTAAAAGAGAAACTTGTGAGTTAGTGTATGCAAGGGATAAAGCAAACTTAACATTGTATTATCACTAAACCACTTCATTACCATCTGACCGACTGATATACTGGCCACTTCCAACATGGCTGCATCAGCAATTCCTTTGGCTGTTTCTTTTCCCAGTGCTCCACTGTGAGATAACAGTTCCTCCACCACCTGGAGAATTTAAAAAATGCCACAACAATACAGTTAACCTGTTAAATCGTTTTTTTCTCATGGTTAAGGAATGAGAAACAATCCTCAATTTTCAGCTAGGTGTTTAACTTGGTTTCACAATGAGAAGTGTTTGAGTATTGCATGTTATGAAAGCCTCACATGTCTGTATTCCTCAAGCGTTATTGTGCCATCGTTGTCAGTGTCATGCATGTTGAATAAAACTGCAGAGAAAAATGCAACTTTATTTCAATCTATGCTTTTCAGTCAGCGGTAAACGTCATGCATGTCTGGGTGATTCCCTGAAATAAAACCTACATCTAAGTTTTTCCTTCCTGACATTCTCCCGATCTTCCTCTTTGAGGTGCTGAGAAGGGGGCCTGAAGTGAGACAGGACCAACAGAAATTCTTCAAAGCTAATCTCGTCCACCTTACCAGCAACATTGTTGCAGAAGTTTCTGAAAAACAAAATATTAAAAACAACATTTTATAAATATGCAGAAAAATTATAATTCAATTGCAAACACAATACTATATACTCAGTGCCATGCATATGTAATGGAAATCATTCCTCAAATAAACAATATGCTACATCAATGATTCAAACCTTATTTAAAGAACGTTGCCATAAACTGTCTGAGTCTGATGAATGTTATGTTTAAATAGAAAAGTGGGCGCCAGTGCAAAATGCAGTGGCCCCTCAAATAATAGCAAAGGCTCCAGCTTCAATGAGAGTTCATGCAGTAAACATTTAAATGATGACGTAAGAAAAAAGGTCAGTAATAAACTTTCAGTTGAAATTAGAAAAGACAGGAGAACAGAAACTCAGAGTGAAAGGCCGGTTCACACTTAAACTAAACCTTTCATCCTGGAAGAAACTGCGGTCACAATCTTGAATCAGTATTCTTTGGTCATTCAGCCCAACAGATACTTTGACTGTGAATTCATTGTTCTCTTGACTAAATTATTAAATAAAAATATTAATAGGTGTGACGTGTAAATTCTTTTCTGGAAAACCGAGTATTTCTTCCAGTACTGAAGTATTTCCCGTGTCCCCTTTCCACATTTATAAACAATTCCAATGTTTTCTCTATTCCCTAGATTACCACACTGGAAAAGTATAACCTTGCTCAAACAAACAAAAAAAAGATGTCCAGATATCACATCTAAAATGTTTGACTTTGACAAAATCTGAATGTAATTGCTTGTTATGACCTGATTATGTTATGTTGATGTAACAATATTACTGCACTTGACACAACTTAAAATCTTGGCCCTGTTCTAAATGATTTTCTGAACATTTCAGTTGACGAAGCAAACTAATATATTGACATTAGACCAACCTAATATACTTACTTTTAACTAAATTAACAAGATTTAATGTTTGTATAGAAATTTAAATATAAGCAAATTAGATTTTTCACATATAATTTCACTTCAAAAGTACTTTCCATTTCCCATCTTACAAACTCTATACACCCTGGACAGGTTACCAATCCATCACAGCACAATACACACAACCATTCACAGACACATTCTCACCAAAGGATAATTTAGACAACCTACACATGCACAGAGAAAACATGCAAACTTAATGGAGAAAGATCCTGGGCCGAGATTTGAACCCACAACCTTCTTGCTGCAAGGCAGCAGTGCTAGCCACTGCACCACTATGTGATAATCTGGGAGTGGGACTTTATGACGGGCTATTAATGCATGTAAAGCGCAGTTCACATTTGACTTACACAAAAAAAATTACCTGCAGGCCATGAATAAATATATACATATTGAGAGAAATCAAAAACTTTGTTTTGGGTCCTTTCTACGTGTATTATTTTTATTTAAACAGGTTAATTTCTACAAGCCTGAAGTAAAAGTGGACAGGCCCAATAAGACTGACCACTCTATGAGTGGTTGGTGACTGTTTATTCAGAAAATAAGTGACCAATCAGAAGTATATTTGGTGAGCTAGCTGTATAAGGGTAACCCATGTTTTCAGCACTGAGGATCTTTAGGCTATTCTGCTCTGCAGCAACACATGTAATTAGCATATTTTCCTTTAGCGAGATTGACTTATTTGTCAAGTACAAAAAAAAAAAAAAAAAAAATGTTCTCCTTAAATCGATTGATTTTACAGTACAGTAACTCATTGACCATATATGGAAGTGCTTCCTATCATTAAGCTTTGTATGTTTTTCTAGCACTAAGATATAGTTCTTGTGCCTTAGAATTAAGAAAATTATGAATTAGTATAAGACAATAGAAAATATAATTGAATATACCGGTAATAATTGTTCACACCTTCTTACATGTTTTCTAAAGTTAGGATGCATCACTGTATTGTGCCGTACCTTTGGTCAAAGAAAGCCTCTGTGATCTGTGCACTGATGGGATTGCATGCCAGATCCGGGATTCCATTGAAGTGTTCCTTCCTAAGGGGGTAACGGAAAAAATTAAAACATTACACGTACTGCTATATGCAACTTCTTTATACACGACATGACATGAAGCTTGTCAAGCAGGTTTTTAGTAACAGTGGAAAAAAGCTCCTATGGTCAGAGCTGGTTTATTATTGTAGATCGAAAACTATTTATAAATGATTAATTAAAGTAGTCAGAGGGAACTAAATATCCGATGACCAGTGAAAAGTTAGAAAGGTGGATCTTACCTCAAAACATCTTCATCTTGGCTCAGCTGTTTGAACCTCTTATGCAGCACTTCAATCTGCTCCAATGAAACTGAAAATCATAGAGCACAGAGAGAGCAGATCTGCACTTATTAATAATAGAACTTTATTGATTTCACATTGGAGAAATTTACCTTTACATTTAACCCATCCCCTTGGGGAGCATTGGGCTTCCATCATGGGGGGAGCAGTGTGGGGTTAAGGGTCTTGCTCAGGGAGCCAGAGTGGCAGTCTGTGGGAGTGGGGCTCGAACTCACAACCTCAGGATTCCAAGCTCTATGCCCTAATCACTAGGCCACTACTCCCCAATATTTTTTAAAATAATTTGTATTTAACTTAAAGATTTTATTCCCAGCTCATTATTCAATTATGGAAACTTCTGAGCCACAATGTTTGATTATTCAAACAAAATTTAAAGCACCTCAGTTTACCTTTCCTATGTCTACCACACTTCAGAGGTTGCAGGTTTCAAAGTAATAATAAACAGTAGTGAAGCAACGACCAGAACAATTCATTATGAAATATCCTTTGTAGAGGATTATGTTACTCTTCCCTGACTTTCATTGAATAATTCATTATTTCTGCGCCAAAAGTTGACGGATAAACGTGCAGCTGTTTGAGCTCTAAACTAAATAGTTCTGCTTGTTTTTTTTTTTAAAGAGTCAGGTTTACTGGGGATCCTTAATATAAGACTGGAAATCATATTTCCGTTTAAAGAATCTCTTATTTATGCTTCCTTCTCGTCCAACAACGAAGAGTTTGTCAATGAAAGCAATAATGATTACTCACAGCCAGTTTTCTTCGACAGATGAGAATACTCCTGTGGAGCCTGTGCGGACAGCAGTGTTCCCATCGCTGCTCTCACCTCTCTCTGCTTCTCCAGCAGCTATCAGACGCAACAACCAGCTCAGGATGCACAGGGATCATGCGATCATGTTCCACTATAATCCACGCTCAGGCGAGTGTTAAGGATCCAGAGCGCACACCTGTGTTTTCCTCTCTTCGTGGAAGCCGAGCAGGTCTCAACCCTCTGTTGACAGGGAGGGCCACTTCCGCAACACCGGTTCCTATGACGACACAGTCCTAAAATAACCACAGGGCGACGTCTAATTTATATTTTTGTCAATTTCAATTACTTTAATTACTTTTTACCCCATACAGCATATCAAAAAGGTTTAACAGCATGAAAACGAGATATTATTTAGACTTATATCGCATTTATAAATAAATGTAAAAGTTAATTTATCTCTGTAACTCATTTCAAAATTCAAACACAATAGGTGACTCAGAGGATGGTGTTTTTAGCTCCAAGTTTCTGTCAGATATCATATAAATACAATATATTAACCTTTTGCCCACAGAATACCATTTAAGAATCCAACCAATACAATACTACGGAAGAGGATTAGGAGCACTGAAAAAACTAAAAAAGTTAACTAATTTTTACATTGTATTTCAGTATAATATGAGAAAAAAGTAAGAATGCTGAGATTAAAGTCAGAATTTTGACTTAATCTCAACATTCTGACTTTAATCTCAGAATTAAAGTCAAAACTCGGTGATTAAAGCCAGAATTCTGTGAAAGAAAAGTCAGAATTCTGAGATTAAGTCAGAATTCTGACTTTTTGTTTTTCTGATATTATGCTGAATTAATATTTATCAGTTAACTTTTTTTTTTTTCAAAGTTTATTTAATAGCCAAATATATACAAAAGGTGGGTTACTTTTAATTAACCCCCCCCCCCACACACACAAACACACCTATATATATA